ACGCATCCGGATATAAGCAGTAAATGTGATTATTTTCATCATTTCAAATCATTAACGATGAAGCTTCAAAGATTTAATCGTGAAAGATAACTATTGATAAATTTATCAGCAGATATCTTTATATTGACTGTATTACAGTCATGTTTCCTTATCAATTTTTATTTTTAAAGATGTTTTCAGAGAGAGAATTAGTTTATTAAAATTATATTATAATTAAATATTAGAATCTGAACAAATTTTTAATTTTATATATACACACTTTTAATTATACATAATACTTCTGTGATAATAAAAATTTTATTATCACTATATTTTAACAGTTTAATTAATAAATTAACATCGTCTTAAAAAATACAAGATAAATAAGTTAACTAAATTAAACACAAGACTATTAAATTAAGCAAACAATAAATATAATAGATATTATCAATTACAAACTAAGTAAGATGTTTCACATAACTATTTGATTAATTCGAAAGAAAGTGAAAAAGTGAAAGTAAAGTGAATTTAAGTTGCTATTTTTCCTTATATTTTAAAAGGAACTCCCTGATGCTTTATTGCGCTATATTTTTGAAGTGACAAATTGAAAAATAATAGAATATGCGTATTCTACTACAACGTAGCTTTATCATTTATCGTGCACCATCCTATCAAAAGCTCGCGCGACGCAGAAGCTCGCAACATGGCCCACACGCAATATGTCCGATAATGGCTAATAAATTGTGCAATATAGCGGCTCGTTTATCAGCCCTCACGTGTGTGAAAATTTCCTGCAGAATTTCCCGCCAGCTACAAAATTTCCCACACCATTTTCAGCTACTAGGAAAATCCAAAAAGAAAAATCGCACATTAACATACAATATATATATATCAGAAAGAAACATTTTACCTTGAGGCTGGAAAAATGGAATTATATGTGAAAAGTGTCGCAAATATTAAAATAAAGCTAACATAAATTTGCTTAGCTGACGTTTTACCGAGTTATTATTCCGTAAAAATTTTTACTTCGCTGTAATAACGCTGCAATATTTGTATTTAAAGTGTCAAGAAAACAATGTAATTTAAAATTTTCGAGAATGTCTTAAAAATAAAATAAAATTGAGTCAATTACAAAGAAAAAAACGGGATAACAAATAAATGATACAGTAGTATTGCATTAAAATTTAATTCTACGATAAATGGAATTGTTTGTTGCTGGCAAACAAGATTTTTCACAGAGTATTCCATGTATTCTGTGTTCTCCTTTTTTCTCGTTGAGTAATTTGTGCCTCGCGTAAATAAGTTATTTCCGGCGGGATCAATCCGAACATTTGGAGGTACGAAAACCGACGAAAACATTCGTATCATTTAGCCAGCGTTTATATCCACATACAGAGTGTCCAAAAATCATCACGCAATTTGGACAAAGTTAAAATTAATTTCGTCTCTGCGAAAACTTAAATTCAACCTTTCATCTCGACTTTTAAACACTTCATTTTTTTTTTATTTAAAATGCAAACGCAATAAAACGTTCGAGCATCAAAAAATCAGGAAACAGTGATTCGATCGTTTAAGGAAGAATCGATCGTATGTTAGAATTAAAGGATTTTATTATAGCGTGGGTCTCGACGCATCCTGAATAATGGAAAGGTATATAGGTATACCTTCTGAATAATCTAGTTTCCCTAGTCCGATTTAGAGGAAACTACACGGTGAGTCGGAGGGGCACCCTGTGTATACAGAATAATGACGTCAACGACGATTGAGAGTAGTGATTCCCGGTAATTTTGCGCTGGTTATAGAATCATTGTAACAGGTATAAGTGCGCTAAACTATAGGCAACTTAGAATGCAACGCCATCACTCGCCTTAATTCGCGTCATTTATTCGCCAACAACAGCACAATCAGACTTCGAAATCACGATAAAAGCTCGTTAAACAATAACAAATTATTCGCGAAACGGAAGAATTGAAAACACTACGACATGAGAGTGTTCGCAGTGGAAAATGGGAGAACAATGATCACGTCTGACGTGTAATGTACAGCGGAATATGTACTGAATGAATTAATCTGTGCTCTCTTTATCCTTCATCTTATCCCTCTTAAAAGCCAAATTAAACGCGAAGAGAATTGAACGTGATTAAAATGGACCAAATTAAACGTTTGCGTATGTAACTTTCTCTACCAATTTCAATTTATTTTCAATTACTCAGCAAAATACAGAAAAAATAAAATTGAAATTACTAAATAAATATTAATAAAATAACTTCGACACGTTGATATATATTTATGGTATAAATATTTATAATCCGCCGTTTCAATTAATTTATTCTTATTTGATTTTGATATCTCGTAATATTGAATAAATTATCACTTTATTAAAACAAATGAAGTTTACAGATTGGTTTATGTTTCTGGGCGTAATTGGTTTTTTTCACGATTGTTTGATTTATGGGAGATCGCGATAACAACCGCGAGAATGTCTGCTCAGACATTTATACCAGACCAGATAGCATGCGAATGACGTCAAATGAATCGTAAGACTAGCTTCCGTCCGTTGACCCAGCATACAAAATTTGTCCTGAATCATTCGAAGGATTATTAGGCCAGAATTTGCAGGCAATTAAGAAATATAGGAAGATATATAGGCTGACACTGCAATCTCTTATCTCTTTAATATTTAAAATATTCAACTAATATTCATACATAAACTAAATGTTATTTCAAAATTTTTCAGTTTTATTTATATAAATATTTAATATAAAATTTACTTATTTGGTATTATATAATATAATAATTATTAAATGTTCTGAGTCTTTATTAAAGTAGATAAAGTAGATAAAGTGTTTGTCCCGCAATTAATCTTCATTTTATCTCCGCGATACGTAATTGAAGAGACTTCGTAGATTATGGCGTACAGATTGATAAAGGAACATATATTTTGGTGCTCTGAGATAACATTTGGCACAGTGACGTCAAATATGTACGCAAGTTCCCTATTTTCTTCCCGTTGACCCGTTTCGTCGACGTTAGCAATCTTATATTCTCGCATGCCTTCAATTGTACATGGTGTTACAGAAAAACAGCATTCACTTTCTCTTTCTGAGTAGAATATTTAACATATGTTTAATATATGAAATAATAAAATATTTTTTTAATTTTCTTTCTAGTAGTAACGTATTAAAACGTTAAGAGAAAGAGAAAAAGAGAGAAAAACTTTTTTTAAATACTAATTAATATCAAATATCTATAATAAGTTTCTTTAAAAAATAAATAAAAATTTGAGTGATATAATATCTTTAAGAAATAAAAATCAAAGATAATTTTCTAAATAGATATAGAAAAGAATTAAATATACCATTATTAGGTATTTCTTTTTTAATAAATAATAGATTCAATAATGAAATGTTTAAATAGACAACCAATTAAATTTCTCTCATGAAATTCGTTTTTCTCTACCTTAATGAACTCAGCATCGATTTTCTTTCAAGGAAAATTTGATCAGCAGTTTAATGGGAAGACTGTCAGACAGGTTGAATTAAGCTTTGAAAGTGCAAATTGGTAATACTATCTTCGATTAATTGAAAGTAAACTTTATTTTAAAGTAAATTTTATTTAATATTTTAATACTTTCGAGAAATGGAAAAATTGGTATTTGTCCACAAGGTAAATAAAAAAGAATTTAATCTAAATTTTCAAGATTTTATAAAAGCTAATTTTAGACTATTTCCCTTTTTCTCCCTTCCTTTCTTTTTCGTTCTCTCTCATTTTTCATTTAAATAATAAAATAGTACAAATCCATCTTGTATTACATTTAGTCATTCGTATAACCGTATCTGTAACCGATAGCGGCACGCGGTCCATAAATCCCGCAAGTACAAATTATTGTACGAGCATTATCGTATTAAGTATTATACGAGCGTCGCGATTGAAATTGACATCCATTTGCCAGAACAGTTCAGTGCGAGCTCGGCGCTTCCCCGAAGAGCTCTGCCATCTTTCACCGCGTTTGTATATATTCGAAGAAATTTTAATTTAGGGCAATCAGTTTTATTACGGCATATAAATAAAGAAAAATGCAAATTTGTGCATATCAAATTGTACCTCCGTAAAATGCAAATTGTGCACCAACATTTTTCAGAAAAACACATCGGATTTGCGGTGTTTTGCAGAATTTAGTTCGCGTACAGTAAGCCATTAAATGTGAAATTCATGATAAAGAGAAAAAAATCAAAAAAGCTTTATGTCTTAAAAATAATATAATATAATCAAATTATATAAGTTACAAATAATTCGAATTAATTTATTTAATAAAAAATTAATTCTGTATTTATAAGTGTTAGTGACGCAGTTTTTATAATTACTATATTTAAATTGATAATTATATAAAAGTATCAATGAAAGAATTAGGAGAAAATATGATAGAGGTAAATTTAATGATTGAAATTAACAAAATATAAAAGAGAAGGATTTTATAATTTTAAATATTGAGGAGTAGACTTTCAAAATGCGTTTTGCCAAAAATTTATAATTTTCAGAAAATGAAAAAGAAAGAAACTCCGCACACAAGAAAATTACTCACTGTACAGAAAATAACAATCAATAGGATGTGAAATATTAAACAAAATTGCTAAACAATTACTAAAAATGTTAAAGAAATTTTGGTTATTTTTAATTAAAAAACATAATGCACTTCGAAATGTTTACGGTTTTTCAGCGTATAAATTATTAACATATAAATTAACGATGAAAAAAATGCTTTCTGAATCATCTCAGAGTAGCTTATAATATGAGTCTTTCAACACTACACTTCTCTCTCTCTCTCTTTCTCTCTCTCTCTCTCTCTCTCTCTCTCTCGGACGAAAATCTCTAACTAAATAAATAAAATTTTGGACAAAACGCATTTTAAAAGTGTGCTCCTCAATTTCATATTAAAGATTAGTGTAATTCCAAAATATGCAATAATTATTAAATTGTTCAAACAATAACTTCTTAATAATAATAATAATTTTTATCGGCAGTGGGAGAGCTCGGAGTCGGACTTCTCGGACACTGAGGACTCAAATGAGTTAGGGGCCAACGTGGGCCCCGAGAGTACCACGATGGACACTGTAGATAGTGTCAACAAACGGCAAGCTACTCGTGTCTTCAAGAAGTCCAGTCTCAATGGCAAGATCACGGTTTATCTTGGCAAGAGAGATTTCGTCGATCACATCACACATGTTGATCCTATTGGCACGTATCCTAAAAGTTTGAAAGCACGTACAATTAATCCATGTGCTTTCAAGAAAAAATAATATATAGATTCTTGTACATATAGAGCGTTTTATTTTCGTATCCTGAATTTATTTTATTTAAGTTATGCTCAAATCTTATGAAACAGTCACTATATATAGATTTATTACGTTTATATATTACATAGATATAGTTTCTTAATATAAGGATTTTATGCAAATGAGTCTTTTCCCAAAAATTTTATGTTAAAAGATATTTTTTATAATTTCAGACGGGGTCGTCCTAATCGATCCTGACTACATAAAAGATCGAAAAGTGTTCGGTCATGTTCTCGCGGCATTTAAATACGGTAGAGAGGATCTGGATGTCCTCGGGCTGACCTTCCGTAAGGACCTCTATTTAGCAGCAGAACAGATTTATCCAGTACTGCAAGGAACTCAGCCCCCCAGGGAACTGACGCGATTACAAGAGAGATTGATCAAAAAACTGGGCAACAATGCGTATCCCTTTTACTTCGAGTTACCACCTCACTGCCCCGCTTCGGTTACTCTGCAACCGGCACCAGGTGATACTGGCAAACCCTGCGGTGTCGACTACGAACTGAAAGCGTTCGTAGGTGAGACACAAGATGATAAACCACATAAACGGTACGAATCTTAGTACAAAATTAAAGAAGTTAATCTTACAAAGAAAAGAAACTTTTCCTCATTTAAAATAAAATAAATTTTCACTAAAGAGAGCAGATACGAAAGAGTTTCACCTCTTTTCTTAACTCATCTAATTCTTTTTTAAGTGAATGATCACCTGGGATGAATCTATACTCTAATTAAAATTACTGTTATTAACGATATATCTATTCTATATTAATTATATATCTATATTAATTATTGTTTTTCAATTTAATAACATTTGAAAACATTATGAATATAGATTTACTCACAATTTTCTGAAAAGTAATAATTAAAAACCAAACAAACATTAAACGGAATAAATATTTTTATATTAGTTAATTATTAAAGAACAGCAATTATAAAATTTATTTAATTTAATGTTGAATCGTAATTAAATACTGAATTTGATTCATAGGAGCTGCGTGAGGCTGGCGATCAGGAAAATTATGTATGCGCCGTCGAAACAAGGAGAACAGCCCTCAGTGGAAGTCAGCAAAGAGTTCATGATGTCCCCGAACAAGTTACATCTGGAAGCCTCCCTTGATAAGGAGCTCTATCATCATGGCGAAAACATAGCTGTGAACGTGCACATAGCGAACAATAGCAACCGGACTGTGAAAAAGATAAAAGTGTCAGTTAGGCAATTCGCGGACATCTGTCTGTTTTCCACGGCACAGTACAAATGCACCGTCGCCGAGGCCGAAAGCGAGTGAGTATTCCTTAACTAATTATTACGTTGTCGAAAGATGAAGATATCGTACACCAGTAAAAGACGCATTGTAATAAACATGAGGTAATGTGATTTAAAAAGCCGTTTTGAGAATTTTATAAAGATTGAATTCTCATGAAATATTATTAATATTTTTTAAGGCTTCTGTTTTACTCATCATTATTATCTCAGACTGTAACATCAGAAATGAGAAAATATACATAATAAAAATTCTTACAAAATATTTAATATGGAAATATAAATGTTATTTGATTGAAAAATGTTTTTCTGTTCCAATTTAATTTGCAAGGATTCTTATTATTTTCTCATTTCTTATATCCTGCTGAGATAGTATCGTATAATAGGTGAACAAAGGCCTTAATTCTAATATATTTGTAGCTTTATGAATCAAATTTCTTTAATAAAATTTCTCAAAGAAAGAAAATACACATGTTCGATACCACCAAAAATTTCTTCAATTTATAAATTACGAATATTCTCAAGAATCGCTTTTTAATCACATTAAAAAATAGTCTTTAGTTGGAGCTAACAGTTTTTTAGTAAGTTATTAACATCAAAACTATTTAAAATCTAGGCAATAAATTGTTAGAAATACGATAGATATATGTATATATGTATAGCTATAAGATTTCGGGACTCGATGGGTCTCTAACGATCGTGATCAGCTTGAAAAACTTTGCGTCAAAGTTTTTTAGCGATTAAATACACGGTTGGCGCGATAACACGCGATAAACAGAACTGTGACGAGCAGGAAAATAAAATTATTGCACTGGCAGTATAGGGGTAGCGCCAGGATTCACCCTGAGTAAGGTGTTTTCTCTAAGGCCGACGCTTGCCGAGAACAAAGACAAGCGGGGTCTTGCTCTAGATGGTCAGCTTAAACACGAGGACACCAATCTCGCATCTAGTACAATGTGAGTGCGAGATTAAGAGCTCGCTGTTTCCCTCATTACTCTTTCACCTCTTCTGCCGGATACTAAGAAAAAAAAAGAGATGACGGAGGTTAGAAACCGGCCAAATGGTTCACTGACTATGATCATGATGATATCTCGTGGCAAATATCCGGATTTTATAAAGACTTATCATGTTTAAGTATCATAAAGGCGAAGCGTAGTAGCAACATGCTATCAATTCTTTTTTAAGACAGCTTTATAAAGTTATTGAGAGAAAAATGTAAAACTTGATGAAAGACTGTCTCTGTGATTAAAACAAGTCAATATTTTAACAAATTAGATGAAATTAATCTTGAAAGTCTTTCAGATGTCTATAATAATAAACTATATATAAAAAAATAAGTGTTTCAGACACATAAAGCAACGTAATTAAAAAATTACTTTACTTTTTATTATGATCTTAATGAAAAAGATTACAAAATTAGTAAGAAATATTTTGGAACACATGAGCCCGTCGCCGACCTCCTTTTTCATTCCTTTTTTTGTATTAATGTAAAAAGTAATAAATGGAATGTCAGCATTTTCTTGGTGATTTTGTGCTGGGGATTTTTAACGCGGTGGCCTGTAATCACGTATATGGATCTCGATCGGTGGTGGTCTCATTTCCTCTGCAAAGCTCCCTCTCTCTCTTCCTCTCTTTAGCTCTACACACACATTCTCATTTTCCCTTCTCTCTCTCTCTCTCTCTCTCTCTCTCTCTCTCCTCCCCTTCTCTTTCTTTTCTCTGTTAAGATATACATATATTTTACATTCTCTATACTTTTTACCTACTGAAATATATTTTACAAATTCTTAAAATGAATTTTTCTGCATTAATATGTAACCATAAATGTTTCACATCCTATATAACCCTTTCAGGCACACACACAGTATTGTAAGCCCTCGTCCTGTTCTCGTCTTTCGTAATCGCAGTCTGTATCACAGCGTGAGGCACAAGCTGATATATCGTACTACCATGATACTATCAGAAAACACAATTAATATCACTTGTTTATATTGTATATTATCGTACTTTAATTAATTATAAATTTTTTGGCACACAAAACTGAAATCTATGAAATCTACGAATCCTCTCTCGATTCAGATGCGCAGAAATATTACAATTAGTATAATGATTATCTATGATATTATTAAAAAAATAAATAATAATCAAAATATTGATTAATATCTTGATTATTATCTATTATATTTCATCAAATAAGTTTTACGTATTTAAAAATAATATTAACAAATTTATTTTGAAAGCGTACATATCTGAATATTTTTTTCTTCTTTAATGTAATATACGTAAATTAATATATTTGAATTATTAGTTTATTAAATTAAATATTAATTAAGAACGGACATTATAAATATCTTGTAAAAAATGGTGGCGATATGTTTCGCGTTTATTGATCAATGCGAAATCTCGGTCCGCACGTAGTAGCACAATTAACACTCATGCTGGTTGTATGTTCAAATGTCAGGGAGGGATGCCCGGTGGGCCCGGGTTTCACGCTGAGCAAGGTGTTCACCTTGACACCCCTTCTGGCCAACAACAAAGATAAATGGGGGCTCGCCCTCGACGGCCAACTCAAACACGAGGACACCAATTTGGCGTCCAGCACCCTGTAAGGACGCGATGCCTGAAATTGAGCCTGCGACACATGCAGACACATGTCTAGATATTGATACGCCGTACCGCGTTTCGGTCGCGCATTTAGCGCCGAGAAAGATAATATATACTAAATTTTCCCTCGCAAATTGCGAAAGTTTGACTCCGTAGTTTGACATAGTGTTTCCTAAACTTTTGACATCTCGACAGATACGTAGCAGTTGAATAGCAGAGATCCTGACTATTAAATGTTAAGCACGTTATAAAAGAGGAAACTACAGAGATATTATTTAACGAATTTATGTAATAAAATATTTCTATGAAAAGTTCCTGTAATATTGAAATATTATTCATGGATATATTAGGTGCGCAACTAAGTTCTCGCTGTTATTTTGATGCAAATGCCATGAAAATAACAGCGAGAACTTAGTTGCGCACCTAATATATCCATGAATAATATTTCAATATTACAGGAAGTAAGTTATTAAAAATTATTAAATGTTTTTCGAATAATCTATAGCATTAATAAAGTATTTTCGAAGAGTACATAAACATAAATTGTACTGAAGTAGAAAACTAATGAAACACTGAAATTCAACACGGGCAGGGAAATTTGCCAGACGAGCGCTAAATGCAGGACGAGAATGCGGACGGCGTTTATTATACACGTGTCATTCACGCACGCAACGCGCAGCCGAGTACGCCTTTGGGAATTTCTCATTTTCGTGCGCAACGCTTTCCACACAACGGCCGGAAAATACATGTTGGCTGCCTGCAACGAAGCTTTTCTCAACGATCGATCGATCGAGATGGCGAGCGACTGGCTCTATCATTGTTGAACGACGTGTAATTCTGTTTTTGCGAGATTCGCCCTCAAATTCACTGGGAATCGTTCCTTCCCACGCATTCTGAATTTCTTAAATCTAAATCCATGGATATCAATATAAACGAAGATTTTGGAATCAACAGATTTTGCAGGATTTTAAAGTTTAAAGAATAGTTTCATAAACCTTGATATCTATGGATACTAAGATCCAAGTGCTTTAACTCTTTCGATACCAGTTTTTTGACTTTTTTTTTATACTTTGACAAAGTTCCAAAATTAAAATCAAATTACAATTTTAATATTCAGCATTGCCACGACATTTCAATAAATAAATATTATCTTTGCAACAAAACGCATGTATTGGCACGTTTTATCTTTTTGAATTACTAAAACTAAACTTGGCAAACTTTAATGCGTATCTCATTGATTTGTAGTGGAAGAAATCCCGTCCTTTCTATTATTTTCTTTTTAAGCCGAATAAAACTTTTTGAATTTTCGCAGAGAATTTTTACTGACATATATTCTCCAACGGAGTACCGAAAGGATTAAGAAACTGCGATCTAGGAGATTTAGGATGCAAGATATCTAAAGCAAAAGTTTAAACCGACATCCCATCCTTTTTCTGCTTGTGCTTTGTGTAAAAACATGGCATCGCCACCGTATTGTATCTGCAGTAAAATTGCATGGACAAATTAGAAATTGTTCATTTTTGCTGCGAAGCTGTAGTATCATGGATAGCTTGATCAAAAGATATGTACGTGATTACTGCTTTACATAAATGTTTTAATAAATAGTATTGTGAATGTATAACATTCTTGTAAGTGTATAAACTGTCGCTTGCTTCTATCTGTGTTTATCGCTATAATAAAGTTAATTTACAAGTCTTTTTCTGTGTTGCTTCCGTTCGTTGCATGACGCTATCACACGATTAACTTTGCATGAGCTTTTGTGTAGCGTTTATATTAATAGATTATAATGCATTATAATGACAACAATAAATATAATTCGCAGTGTGGTTGACCCGGCGCAGCGTGAAAACCTCGGCATAATTGTCCAATACAAAGTTAAAGTCAAACTCTGCCTCGGCGCTCTAGGAGGGTAAGTATTATCACCCATTTATCACGTCGACTGCTAAGGGGGTAACCTAAAGCAGTTACCCAGCGCAATAATAATTTTTTATATAAATATAACAGCTATGAAGAGGACATTGCCAAGTGAATACATCGCTTTTAGATTCAACTAATCACTTTGACACACACTGCTAAATATCAATAAAGGAGATGATAATCCAATCCCTTCAGTTAAACAATATTTTGTTATTTTCAACTTCCATGTGTGTCAAAATGTAAATCAATTTATTTCTGTGATTAGTTTGAAGTAAATAACGTGCATATTAAATTCGAATCAAATTTAATACATTTTTTTTTTTCAGATAAATTATTTAGTTAAATTTACGACGTATTGAATAAAAGCAATAGCGACTTACAGAAATGATTGATAACTCAAATTTTGTATAATTCGACACTATAAATTTAACAGTGCAATATTCTAAGATTTGCTTTATATTTAAAGCTACGAATATAATATTTCTATTCAATATTATTATTATATTCTAATTGTAGCGAATTAGTTGCGGAACTGCCCTTCATTCTGATGCATCCCAAACCGGAAGAAGAGGAACCAGTGCCGTCCACAGCTCGACCAAGTCCTACGCACAAAACTGACAGCGGGGAAGTTCCGCTCGATACAAACCTCATCCAATTGGACACGTAAGTAATCCAACAAAATTTTAATACATTTAACTTTTTAATAAAGAATTAAAAAATCACGATTAACAGACTAATAAAATCTTATCTGAAATTTTTATATTTATATGTATATATATATAAACAATTAATTTTTTAAATGTTTGTAAAACAGTTTCCAGATTTCTTTGTAAATTTTCCATCTATTTTCAGGGAAGCAGATGGCGATGATGATATAATCTTTGAGGACTTCGCTCGTTTGAGGTTGAAAGGCGAAACGGAAGCTTGACCGTGTTCCGCTAACACTTTGACACGTATCGATCAAGTGACTTTGACGCCACCATGTCGCACGCAAGACGGAAGTTGCACAATTTCGCCAATGATGCCAATAGTAGCTATGTCGCAGCAACAAACTTAAACGATGTATTGTTTGTTGAAGCGATATTATCGCTATTCCCAAGCGCAAAGTGTCAATACCGATTTTTCCACCGTTTTGACACATTTTAAAATTTATTGCAGGAATAGTTTAATGAAAGAAATAAAAAAAAAGCAAAAGAGAACACAAAAAATTGTATAAGAGAGGAATTCTGCAAGCTGCTCACATTTTTTTTTGTGCAATTTCATATTTTTATGTAAGATAAAAAGATTATGGAAATGCAAATTGAAAATGATATTGAGAAACTTTTTCTTCAACAATCACCATTTTTACCAATTGTCGAAAGTAACGAGAAATACACCGGAAGTTGAAGTTTCTCAAGAGCAAACTGTTTAACAATTTTTTTTGTTTCTCTTTAAGCGCTAGCCTATATATAGATATATATTATTTATAGAACACTTAAACAAATGAAATAATTAAATAATTAATTAAGCCATTTTTATGGCACATGCTCTTTATTTGATCAAAATGATTTTGATTTGTGGGGAAAGTGCGACGGATTTCATAATTGATATTCACGAATTTTTCATCAATACCGTCGCTATTTCATGCTCTGGCTCTGAAGACTGATTTTAAGAAGAACATCCACGAATCTAGCTAATGATGAATATTTATCGTAAACTCCTTAATAAAAGAAAAAATATATATAATCTATATTTGGTATTTTATTTTCCAAAAATATTACAAATTAAATGTGTTATTAATTTAATTTAATAGCTAATTAATTGAGTCTAAGTCGCAGGTTAATTCAGAAAATGTGATTCAATTATTACATAATCCAATTAATTTAACTGAAATAATTTTATAATTAATTAAATGCAAGATTAATATCCAAAAATGAGATTTTTTTAGATTTATAAGCCACGATATATTGCGATTCTTTAAACATGGCCAGTACTGTCTTTAAGTTACATGAGCGCACGGGATAAACTTTTGTGAATTATCAATTTTATTTTAATAATATAGAATAAATATATATGTTAGTGCACATTGGAAAGATCGTTTGCGTGGAACGATCGTAAGCGCTTTCTTGTTCCTCGTATAAATCGTATCTTTCGCAGAATTAATACTTAATTTATAATTAATATAAATATAAAAGAGAATTAATCACAAAACCATGAAAAAGAAGAGCTGTTTGATATTTATCTCGTTTCTCCGGGATAAAAAACCTATACAATGCTTTATTTGACAACGAGAAAAATTATTTTATAAAAAATCTCCAGTTTTTAGAAAACCCATTTAGAAGAATTTAATGCAATAATTTAATCGTATACTAAACAAGATGCGTAGAAATATGCAAAAAATGAGGAAAGATGGCGTTTCGAAATGCAGATGTCAATTTATAGATATATTTATGAATAATTTGTAGAACTTGGTAACATTGTAGAATTTTTAATATTAATCCGTTTCATCCTTTTCCGATTTTACAATCAATTAAGTTAAGACGGCGAGCACTGTTCAATCAACTTCGATATACATTTCCAAGACTGCTCGAGAATTAATAAGAATTTTCGCATCTTGCAATGAAATATCACATAATCTCGGCTCACTCGTATTAAATTAGGAATTTAATATTGATCGCCTAATTAAATGTTATACACAAGGACTATAAAATTAAGTTACAAAAACCATCAGAGAAATTTTATCCAAAATAAAATCCAAAATAAATACAATTGGTTACACGTAATTACATCTCATTACTTTTGTGAGAATTTCTAAAAAAATAATCCTTTTTATTAATTTTAGAAGTTACTTTTAATATCACATAATGGCATATAATTTTTCCTTTTTCATGTTTTGATGTTGTCTATTCTTTTTCTTACTTATCAAATTTAAATAATCAAGAATATAGAAAAAAAAGTCTATTCAAAATATCGATTTAAGTTATGTTAAATCTTGCGAAATTTAATACCATGAATTTTTATTGAATAAGAGATTTATTTTATGCTCTTAATTTCAAATTATAACAAGATCAAATCAACAATAAATAGTTCACATTGGCAACGAAGATAATTTGACAGTGTCATATTAATTAAAATGGAAGTTGCAAAATCACAAAAGTAACTGAATAACATTGTATATGCATGTATGTCGTGTGCGTGTATGTATGCGTGTGCAGTGTGTGTGTATATATAAATATACACATGTGTAAGAAGCAAAGAAGAAATAGTATTTTTTATCACTTTAGCATTTACAAACTGTATCTAGACGAAATAATCAAGTATGTGGTCTACGCTTTTTTTCGCACGTTTAATATTAAACGAGCGATGAAAACGCGGCCGTATTTCTTCATACCAAAGCTGATATATTTGTTTCCTAAAAGAAATTGCTTCTCGAGAAAGGTATTAATAGTAATTTGCAAGAATAAAAAAAGTCTATTTAAATCTTTAATCTAAATTTAAAGAGACTTTCCAATTTTTTAAATACATATTCTTTAATAATAAATTACTAATAAGTAAAAGAGATTTATTAATAATTCAACAAATGTTAATTTCTTTTACACAAATATTTTAACAAAAATATTATTAAAATACAAATTATGTCAGAAGTTTATTTTATATTATATTGTAAAAAAAATGTAATATAAAATAATATCTCCTACAAAATTTTATTCAGTTGATCTTCTAAATTAAATTGCATGGATCGGTGTTCATAACCCCTTGTTATTGTAAGACCATTTTAAATAATGTCTTAAAATGTCAATATGACTTTGTGATTGACTTATGATATCTTAAGACTGTACTTAAGAATTAAGACGGTCTTAAATAAAAGACTTAATTTATGAACACCAGCCATAATTATTATTAACTGTCTAACTAGCAGCTTGCTTAGAAAGTCTCTTAACTTATTTTCATAAAACAGGAACGTGCATGTTCAACGAACGTAGAGCTATTTAATTAAGGGACGAATTTTTGCGATTGCGGCAAATGTCGAATGTCGACACTTCGATTATTCGTTTTAAGCGACGTGTATGAGTGTGTAAATGTGCAGGCTTGTATAATGAGAGTATATTTTATATTCGCCCGCGGGCGCGCACATATTTTTTATATGATCGCAAGCGGTAGATCATTAACATTCTTATTGTGATCGCGATTCGAATCACAAAAAAGGATCACGCCGCACAAAATCAAGGGAGATAAATAAAGTCAATAAGGATGCCGTCTTTGTAATTCTAATATTGAGAGATTGTTTTCTTGAGATACAAGAAAACCATATCACATACAGAGTGTCACGGAAAAAAACGCGAATCTTATCAACTTAATCATAATATAAAGTTGAAATTTTTTACTATGCAAACTAATAATTTTGTCATTTTACATATAGGTTGCACATTTGATATTATTATAATTAATTACATGTAACTGATATTTAGTATTGATATTGTATTGACAAGAGAATTTGGAAATTTCAACTTTAAAATTACAGTTTTAACGCGATATTTTTTGAGACGCTCTGTACTTAACGAATCACTGCGAAAAGAAAGGCAAACGATTACGCTTCTTTGATATAACGCATTTTGCACCTGGGAACTCACATTTCTCTCATTTTATATCTCGTTTAACTAAAAATTGCATCTATTTCTGTGCAAACAGGAAGCTGTTGTGATTGAGCATAGCGAAACGCGGATATGCTATCCGAATGGTTGTCTCATGCGATATAGTCAAATTAATTAATTGCTCCGAGCATAATAATAAATGGCATAAATTAGACACAAAGGAAAGAAGACAAACAAAAAAGGAGAAAAGAAAGATAAGATATTATGTAACCTGAGAGTATATCTGTAATTAATGTAATCGGGTTGATGTACAAGTATTGTGGTTCTCTGCAGCTGTTATACGTGTAAATCATAAGACAAAAGAAAAAAGAAATAAAGAAAGAGAGAGAGAGAGAGAGCCATTATTGCTAACTTGTACATTATATTAGGGACGACTTATTTATTGAAGCCGCGCGTTGTTAGTTAACAAACAAAGTCGTGTGTCGTTCATGATCGTTCGCTGTTCACTCGTGAATAATCCGTTTTGTATGTAAAAGAGATTACGAGAGAATTAATAAAAAAAAAAAGGAGAGAGGGAGAGAAAGAGAGAAAGAAAGGAAGAAAGATCGCGAGAGTGCAAGAGTGTGTGTGCGTGTGTGTAAAGTAAATGGCATAAAATAAATATATATATAATGCATAATATATTGTATATGTAAAAATCGTGTATTCTCATAACTTGTAACTAGCTGTAATAATTTAATAAATCCTGTATATCGAAACTTACATACCTCTTACACATTTTTTTAACATTCACTACGTTGAATTTCACTATTATTAAATGATTTTATTTCCTTTACAGTCTTCTACATTTTTATAAAAAAATTTCTTATATATATTTTTAATTCCGTTCATAACAAAAAAAAACATTTAGCTAGAATAATTGCTGTGAGTATAGCAACAATTATATTTTATTTTGTTAAGAATTATTTAAATAATTATTAAGTAATGAGACACCATTGAAAGAATAATAATTAAAAAAATACTTTCTTAAAGTTTCTCGATTTTTCCAGACGAGTTTACTGTAACTGTATAAAATTATAGGATGCGTATGGCGATACTGTTGCTCAAGCTTTCGAAGTTGAAAAAGTTTCTTAATTGGCGAAATAACGTGCAATTAACGAAGCGGCTTTACTTAGTACAAAGCTCTCTTCCTTGACGAAATTAAATGCACGTCTTGCTAACGAAAGCGTTCTTCTTTTTTACCCGTTAAGAAGATTTAGGACAGATAGTTGGTAATACCAAATCCTTGTATGCGTTTATAAAAGTTTATTCGTAAAAGTAAATGATGTAACACACAAGAAAACTAATACGCACACACAAATATTTTGAATAATAGCTAACTGTAAAATATGTAAAGGATATTTTAGTAAATTGACATCAATAGTTAAATTAAACTGCTAAGTAAGACGAAACTAAATAATCACACGTAATCATACTATAATACGATAAATAAATTCTGAAGTATTTTAAACAATTACCACAATTTTAACTTTGAAACTAACTCGAGCACGAAGAGAATGAGGATATTCGAATCTCTACCGCGGTCTGAAGTAATTTGCCAACCGCGATGCGGGAAGGAGGTTGGAGCTGAGCTAAGGTTGAATTCACCATTTCATTCATGTAGAAACTTTATTCAAATTCAGTCATCTTCCGTCGCAAATTCGAGTCATAAATCGCGTGGCATGATGCGGCAAAACGAAGAAACAAAAGAAGAAGAAAAAGCGAGCGCGAGGACACATTTACAACACGGAGGAGACCCCGGAAGAAT